GAGAGGGTCCATCCCCACAGAGTGTGGGTGCACACAGGCTCACAAGTGTGGAAAGGCACGTTCGCCTCCAAGAACAGTCTGGTTTCCGCTTCCCAGGGGAACAAATCCTGTTCTCTGTGGGTCATGCACTCTGATTTCCCCTTACTTTCTAGATTCTGGGAAGAGAGAAAAAGTACTATTTAATTTTTTATTAAATTTATTTAGTGTGTGTATGTACATACATAGTGTGTGCACATATCTGTATGTGTGTGCCTGTGTGCATGTGCCTGTGTGTATGTGCCATGTGCATCTATATGCATGCATGCACCTGTGTGTGTGCATTAGTGTGCTTGTGTGTGTGCACTCCCATGAGTGTTTAATTTTCATCTCTCTCAGGATGCCGGGAGCTCCTTGGGCGGCTCTTCTGTACTCTCGGCTCTTCACACCGGGCTGACACTAAGCAGATGCTTAACACGCGTTGGTTAATGACCTGAATGATCAACATGCATGTGGAAATGTCACGAAATTCTTTGTTGTTGTTGTTGTTGTTGTTGTTGTTGTTGTTGTTGTTGTTTTGGGACAGGGTCTCCCTGCACAGCCCTGACTCGAACTCACTAAGTGAAGAGGTCCGTCTCACACTCGCCCCAGACTGACTCCGATCGCATCAATAGGGGACAATGTCTCCTCCTTGCTCCGCACTAGAGCCTGGTCACCCGGGTGAATGCCTTTTCCTCTTGGGCTTGTGGGGCCTGGAGGTTGCAGGGGAGAGAGACAAAGGTCAGCCTTTAAAATTCAAGTCTTATTAAAGGCAAAACACCAGACCACCACACACCTCCGCAGACGTGCCCTCCTCGCCCTCCAGCAGGGGCCCCTGGACGCTCACACCGAAGCTTCTTTTTTTGCAGTGGGAACTTTGAGTCTGGTCTCCGATAATTGCTAGCCACGTGACCTGGCGTCTCTTTCCTCCCCAACCCCTGCTTCTCAGGTTCCAAACCTGGCCAGGATGGTTTGATCTATGCAAAAAGCGCAGAGGTTATCAGAGCGGTCCGCATCCGTGAGCCGGGGGCCACTGGCGCCACCTAGTGGCTCCACGCCAGGGCTCCGCTTGTCTGACGCCCCTGCAGGCGCCAAGCGGGGAGGGATCCTTGTCCAGTGTCCCATCAGCGTTAGGGGAAACGCTCCAAGCCCGCGGTTGTCTGTCTCCAGTTCGTGTCTGGTTTCCAAGCTTGACAGCCCCGGAAGAGAAGGGAGCTTCCCCTGCCCGCCGCTGGCATCCAGCCGCGTTCCCAGGCTGGGAAGCTGTGCCTTGGGGGCCAAGAGCGCCCCCTGCCGCTCACTGTGTTTATTACAGGGATGGGTGGGGGTGAGCCTCGGCTCTCCAGATCAGGACCTTACTCTTCCTGTCAGCTGTTCTCTCCCCGGATTTAGTCCAGAGAGTCTCTGACCCCCAGAAGCAGCCGTGAGCATGCCCGCTTCGCTCCCTCCCTGTGTAGACAGGTGAGCCTTTGGGCTTGTGAGCTGGGGAAGAAACCTTGGTTAAGGGCAAAGTTGGGCGCTGGGGGGTAGGCCGACTGGCCCCTAAGGAAACCCCCTCTGTCACCCGCTGTCTCGGCGACCCTGCCTGTGCACCTGTAAATGAGTGAGTACAGGGGGTAATGTGCGCAGTGAGCTTGCCACCCCCTCCTACAAACCTCCCGTGCCTCCAGAAGCTGGGCAGGCACGGCAACGAATGGGGGAACTAGGTCGGACACAGGGTAATAGGGAGTAGTGGGGACTGTGTTACAGGAAACACAGGCCCATGCGACAAGGGCAGCTTCTGGTCAGCATCCTTCGAGCCAAGACCTTCTGGCTTTTCATCCAGGACCTTCCAGGAAACTCAGAATCTTTGATGCATCCCTCTGCTCAAGAGTGTGTCCGTGGAGTTTGGTGCTGTTGGGCCCGGGGGAAGAGAGGGTAGGTCTGGTCAGCGGTAAGAGGCAAACCTGGGTTCCAGCGGTTTATTTGTGTTACTAATATTTGCGTGTTTCCATTGAGAAACCTGTTGCATTTAGTTGTGTGTGTGAGAGAGAGAGAAAGAGACAGAGAGACAAAGTTCATGCATATGAGTGCAGATGCCCATAGAGTGCAGAAACCAATATTGGATCCCCTGGAGCTGTGACCCACCCACGTGGGTGCTGGGAACTGCCCTCAGGCAAGCCCTCTAACCACTGGGCCATCTCTCCAGGCCCTCAGCTGCACTGAAATGTTATCACTTCAGGGCTATTTTCAGGTCTCTATCCCCAGCTCACTGTGTGACCTCAGGCAAGGCCCTTCACATGCCCATTTTTTTTTTCTTCCTGAGTAACAGGTAAGAATGTACCGAGCTCCAATCTTAACAAGTCACATGAATCGCTTCATGTTAACCCCGACCTTGTGACGGGGCAAGCATCTCTGCTCCCTCTGCTTAGAGACGAGGAAACAGACAAGCCCAGCGACTCGCCTGGACCCCCAAAGCAGCGGGGCTACTGAGCTATCACCATCGATATCACGGCTACTAATTACAGAAACGACCCAGCGCTGGTTGGTGGCCAAGGGAAGTTCTTGGCCTTGGATCTTCAGAGACCCCGGATAGCTCTGGATTTTTCCACGGAGCTCTCAACTGTTTAACTGTTCCTTTCCACACAGGCACTGGGCAGCCCTGCCAATGGCTTTCCCGGGACGATAATTAGATTTAAGCCCTCGGTCCAGTCAATAGATTCTCATCTCAGGGTTACCAAGCCGGTCATGGCCAGTAATTTACAGCTTGAATTGTTCTGAAATCAATACAGATTTTGCTCTTCAATGAGAGGGCTATAAAACACGGTGACAGGAGGGCCCGCAAAAGCAGTCGGCCAGGGAGTCAGGGAGCCAGCAGAGGGGCCCGGCAATTAGAGCCCAGGGGGGGTGGCTGACCTCCGTCCGGTGGGCTGTGGTCAGAGCCTGCAGGAGCTTCCCGAGGGGAGGGGTCTGTGCGCCTGCTCATGGCGGAGCTTGTGCTTGAGTGGCCTTGATTGACAGGTGTAGAGGAAAGGGATTCTGAGTCCCACAGAATGGCATTGGGATTTGACGATGCAGTTTTCTACTCTGGGGAATCAGCCTGAACCCCTTGACACTTGGGCTTCCGTCTGTAAGATGGGCAGATAATGGCGACCGGTGGCCCAGATGATGAGATGAGGTGGCCATCTTTGAAGAACACTGAATTTACTGCGGTGGGGGGCTACTGAGCCCAGTTTCAGGGAGGCAAGGGCCGAGGTCCAGTCTGGCTGTGGGCCCCTGCTTCTTGCTCAGCTGGGTGACTTTGGATCTGTCACTTAACCACTGAGCACCATCTCCTCCCGTTGAAGGAATAATAGAGCCCTGGTTCGGGGCTGCGGTGAGAGCTGCAGGAGGTAATTCACACAGCCATCAATTAGCACAGGGCCCGGAGCTGATGTGAGCTCCGTAGAGCTAGGGCGGAGCACTTCCTTCAGCCCAATCCTCACTGTCCACGCTTCCTAGGAAGTTAGCCCAGCTGCAGGCTTGGACGCTGTGTCCCTCAGAAACCGGAGAGGGCAGCCTGACACGCAGTAATCTGAGGAGAATGCAGCTTTAAAAACCCTCCAGAACTTCTCGGTGCGGTGATCCCTGCCTGTCATTTCGGCAGTGGGGAGACAGAGGTAGGAGTCTGGGGCCAGCCTGGGCCACATAGTGAGTTCCGGGCCCACAAGCACTCTGACTCCAGTGCTGTCTGCTCGGGCATGAATATTGGCCTCATTTTCCTGATGGGACAAATTGAGTCACAGAGAGGTGAAGGGTTTCGCACAGGCAGCCACCAAACGGTGATGCGGTTTGAATTGTGAGATGTCTCCTGGAGGTGGAAGTGTCCAAAAGCTCGGTCCCCAGCCAGCGGTGCTGCTCTTGGGAACATCAGGAGGCGGATCCTCTGTGGGAGAAGCGGGTCATTGAGGGGGAGGTTCAGCCCCATTTCCTGCCTGATGTTTCCCGTCCTGCATGGAAGTTAGAAGTCCTAACAGCAAACTCTGGCCACCGCGGAGCCACCTCCCACCTTCTGCCCACGATGAGTTGACTGGGTCCTCTCGGGCTGCGAGCCCCAACAAACCATCCCCCTTAACTTCCCTCATGGTGGGTATCTCCTCCCAGCAACAGGTAAGCGACCAGCCGATGACAGTGATGAAGCTGGGCTCCGAATCCCAACCACCCCCGGGGCCACCGCTGAGCGGTGAGTGAGTCTCAGCCTAGGCAGTATGAACAGGAGTGAGCGCTCCACAGAGAAAACAACATGGGCAGAGGCCCAGGGAGGTCCCACTCACCAGAGCCTCAGGCACAGGCGAGGACCCTGTGCCTATCACACTCAAAGGTGGCCAGCATGCACTGGCTTCATATTTTCATTCATTCATTCATTTATTCCGATGTATTGAGAACCTACCAGGACAAACACTGCTTTAGGGTGGTGAGTTACAATCTCTTCTCTCAAAGCTCATGTTACAGGAGGAAGATCAAAATAAGAGAAACCAATAATTAGAAGTAGAAGCAGTCATGGGTAATAAGAAAACCAATACATACAATACTCATAGAAAATAAGTAAGCAGCGTGCAGGAAGCCCAAGGATGATTGACAGAGTTGGGGGTGGGCCGGTGTGCAGGAAGCAGGAGGATGATTGACAGAGAGTTGGGGGTGGGCCCGTGTGCAGGAAGTCTAAGGATGAGAGATGGAGAGAGGGGAGGGTGGATCCATGTGGAGTGAACAAGTAAGGAAACCTGTCTGGTTGGTGGCAGAGTCAAGGCGCCACTGGGAGACAGAACAGGACAGAGCTTGAGGAAGTGACTTCCAGGCACTCAGAGGAGCAGCTGCAGAGACCCTGGGGTGGGAAAAGACCATGGCCCAGACAGACAAAGAACACAGCTGAGGAGGAACCCCAGTTCACATGGTGAAGCCTCAGCCTCGGTCACCACGAAGCCAGAGCTTTTCTGACTTCAGCAGGGGTCATTAGGGCACTTTGAGATAGTCTAAGAGCTGGGACTTTATCCTAATGGCCGAAGGGAGCCATGACCAGGAGAAGCCAAGTCCCTGCTGCGGGGAGAATGGAACAGAGGGGCCTAGGTTAAAGTGAGTAGAAGCGGCTACTGTGGGGGTCTGACCCCAGGGCGACCGGGGACTTCATCTGACTCCTGTAGCACACCACCCTCTTTCTCGGCTCAGTGTTCCTCATGCACATCCCCTGAAATGGGATGAAATCCTTCCTCAATGTACTTCTTTGTATTAAAATGTTCTTTATTGTTGAGCATTTCGTACATACATACAATGAAATATGACCACCCCACCCCCATTTCTCCCTCTAGCTCTTTGCATATCCCTCCCACACAGCCCCTCCCAACCTCACGTCTTCTTTTCTTTTTCAATAACCCATTAAGTCTATATGTGCATGGGTGTGGGGCATCCATAGGACCGTGGGAAACCTCCAGCAACCCCCCCCCCCACACACAAGATCCACTTCCAATTGCTCCTCAGTAAGTGTGAGGCCTGGAGCTCATCCACTAGAATTCTGCTCAGTCAGATCTTGGGTAGGTAACCACAGCCGCCGTGAGTTCCCGATGGCAACAGTCATGTCGCTCATTCGTTCCTTCACCTCCTCTTGTTCAATGATCCTTGTTGTTCGAATCTTAGATGGTCTTTTAACAAAAAACCCAGAGCCAGATACCAGGGTGAAAGCTGAAAGATCAGAGAAGCAGAGCAGCCAGCCACTAGTTCTTCCCTCTAGGAAATCTTCAGCCCAAAGAGAATGAGTTCCTGTTTCCTCAGGCCTTATATACCTTTCTCTACCCAGACATCGCTTCCTGGGATTAAAGGCATGTGTGCTTCCCAAGCAAAGGCATCCCAGGTGCTGGGATTAAAGGTGTGTGCCACCACTGCCTGACCTCTATGGATAATCTAGTGGCTGGTTGTGTCCTCTGATCCTCAGGCAAGGTTCTTAGGTTACACAAGATGTCACCATAGATCCTGGGTTAATAGCGATGTCCTGTTTAGGGCTGAGCACCCAATCTCTCATTCTCAGCATGATGTGGAATAATCCTCTTGTACATTGTGAAGATTTATCACTCGAATTCATTTAATAAAATGCTGACTGGCCAGTAGTCAGGCAGGAAGTACAGGTGGGGCAACCAAACTAAGGATGATGGGAAGGAGAGGGGTGGAGTCAGACAGTCGCCAGC